CCGCCTGTGGCTTGGACGGCAGTGGCGGAGCCAGTCCATGAGGCAACGTATTGGCAGGCTGCTGCTGTTGCTGTTGCTGCTGGTGCTCCTGCTGCTGCTGTTGTACAAGTGTGCCGAAGACTGCAGGCGCAGGCTCGTCGTCAGCGGCATCCACCATGTCGGCATCACCGTTAGCGTTTGTCGCGCCGCCATTGGCTGCAGGACTCCCTGCAGTGCCATTCATGTCAGGGGACGGCTGCTGTGTCACGTCCGGCTGCATCGCCTGATCGACCTCCATCCGAACATGCAGCGCTCGCCGCTGCGCCGCTGCACTGCTGCTGCGTGTTCGCCGGAGGCGCTATGGGAACCCCGAGCGTCGCCAGTGGAATGAGAGATGCCTCTTCAGATAATAGTATTGCAACAAACCCAAGGGACCCGTGGAACGCGGCAGGGATCTACGGGATCTGGCAGTGCTGATCGTGCTCATGTTGAATCAAAAATTCATTGATCAAGAGGTTGAGTTGACATATCAGCACTGCGTGGGCAAGTCGGCCAACCCGGGTGACACACAACGCGGGTTCATGAACGAATGAATGCAGCATGTTCTGGCCCAAGCGATGCTTGTACCTGTATGAGAACCATGTTTTGGATTCCTATCACCAATCTCCCGCTACCGTATTCCAAGTGCTACTTGCCTGTGGCGGTGTAGACCGACAGTTGACAACTGACACTGAGCACTGCCATTCGTGCACATTATTCTTCAGCATAGGCTGGCACCCATGCACTTCAGGCGGAAACTTGAATAACATGTGCAGCAGGCCGGTAAGGCTGCCTGCCTAGGCCCACTTCACCACACATCCACTCGGCATGTGCATCCACCAGCAGCTCTCATCCCCCGTTCTGGCCCCAACACCCTGATGAGGCTGTCGTATGTTTGTTACGGGACCAAGAGATTATCCTGCGTACGTAGGCAGAAGCTGGCATCGACCCCTCAAGCAGCAGCTCGTGCTGCTGCTTGTGCTGATACTTGTATGCCAAATTTGAGCAGCCTTGACGCCGCCGTGACGTTGATCCCGTTGGTGGAGACGCCGCTGTGGATAAAGCGAGACGGGTTGTGACATGTCTGCGCTCAGGTATAAATTTGTGATACGGGTCCCGGTGGAACATGTACGGGCAGGGATACCGACCGTACTCGCTTTGTGCACTCTGCTGCTTGCCGCACACTTGCTACGGTACTACACGCCTCTGGTAAGGCGGTGACTACCGACGACGACTTCAAGTTATTCTTTTATCTGTACATATGCTGGATGTTCCAAATGTTCAGCTCGCTTTGCACTAGTTGACCGTGAAAGTTGACTCTTGCTGTCCTCACACACCTCTTTTTCGAACACATTTAGGAACAAATCATAACATTGCATCTGTGATCTCCATGTAGCGCTTGTCGACATGGAGCGCGACGAGTATGAAGCGGGGCTGGCGTTGGACGAGCAATTCCTTCGCGTGAGTGCGGCCACTGCAGCACAGCGTAGAACAAGTATATATTACTTCCGCGTGGCTCCTTGACAACTAGCGCGCCGCAGTTGCATGTCGCCGCAGTTGCCGCCGCAGCAACGTGCCGCACGCACTGTGTGCATCGACCGCGCCCCGCTGTTTCGTGCTGCCGCCTCCGCCTGGACCGATCGCAGTTGGCGATCACGCTCGAGAAACGGCTGGCGCTACTGGACAGGCATGCACGTGTGCGGGTTCAGGCATGGCTCAAGAAGCTTCGGCAGGAGGTGCGCGCTGCAGCGGAATCCTGTATTACCATATCGCAGCTGCAGCCCACATGGGTGTTGCACGGGCAGACGGAGAAGCCGCAAGGCCCGGATAAAACCTGTTGTGGGCGTCGTCATACCTGGTCGGGAGAAAGACCTGGTGGCATCATGAAGCAGCCGCTCATTACGCACGCGCACAGCTTTGCGTCTCCTGCGGCGCGGCAGAGCGCCCACGCAGAGCTGCACAGCCGGATCGATCACACCGCCATCCCACTTACTCCCCTCCTCCTAATACCACGTCGCCCCGCCCCCGCCCCCGCCCCCGCGCCGCCAGACCTCCAACCACACGTGGAAGCGCAGCCGCAACCAGTACGCGCGGCTGCTGCTGGAGCAGCTCAGGGCGGGCGTGCTGGAGCCGCCCTTCCACCTGTTCCCCCCAGAGGGGGCCCTGCCCACCCTGGCCCTCTTCCTCACCTCCAGGTACAGTAAGCGCAAGCGCAACGACGGGCCCTCATCACAGCTGACACGACTTGTTGCTGGGCTGCCAACCGCCACAAGCAGGGCCCTCTCGGGGCCCCGGAACAGAGACCAGCTGCCAGAGACTGCCGCTGGTCGATCATCCCGCAAACGAACGAACGCATAGCCGGCCGTGCGGCTCAGCCACTGCTCGCCGGCGCGCCTTTGAGCGCCCCCTGCCCGCCTTCGCGCATGCACACACACAGGTTCCTCTCGCCACCGCGCCGCGCGTCCCCAGCCAGCCGCGCCCGCAGCCGCAGCACGCCCGGCTCGCCGCGGGCCCTGGGCGCCCGCTGCGGCGGGGCCGGCGCGGGGCATGGAGCTTGGGCGGGGGACACGCGCAAAATCGCAGCTCCAAGGCACAGGCAGAAGGGGCGGGAGCAGCCGAGGAGCAGCGGCAGCGGCGGCGTGGCAAGACAGGGCGGCGGGTTTGGCGCCGACGCCTATGACAGGCGCGGCCGCCGGCAAGAGGAGCAGGAGGACGGCCGCGGCGACGGCGGCAGCCCGTCCCGCGGGGCGGCGGCGCCGCAGCGCGGCCGCAGCCCCGGGGCCGGGTCGCGCGCGAACCGGGCGGCCGCGCTGGTGGAAGCTGCCCTGAACCTGGAAGCTGACCTGGAGGAGGCGAGGGAGGGGGCAGGGGCCCTGGAGGCGCGGCTGAGGCTGGCAGAGGAGAAGATACACAGCCAGGTGGGTGGTCCTGACGGGCGCGTGGTCCTTCTGGGTGCGTGGTCCTCGCTTTTGGGCAGCAGCATGGGGCGTCGTCGTTCCTTAAGGACACCACCTAGCACGTTGCACCACTGATATTTGCCTGTGATAGAATGGGTGTCCCCTCTTTTCGGTCGGCGGCTGAGTTTGGATGTCACTGGAGCTTAGCGGCGGGGGGTTGGAGGGGCTTCGAGGGGCTGGCAGGGGTCTTGCATGCTTTTGTGTGGGGTAATGGTGGGATGCAGGAGGCAACAAGCATATGCAAACACATGCCATTAACTCGTCAAAGCACACGATACGCTGCATCGTGGGTGTTTTTACGCGCCCCTTTGTGGCTCGTCGCAGGAAGAGGAGCTTGGCACGCTGCAGGGCCGCTCCGCCGAGGCCGCCCGCCGCCTGCGCGGCGCCGCGCGCGCGGCGCTCGAGGCCGGCGCCCGCCGCCATGCCAGCAGCGCCTCTCCGCCGAGCCGCTGGGAGCGCACTGGCGTGGCTGCGTGGCCGTGGCGGCGCGGAGGGGACGGCGAAGAGGACAGCCGCGTAGCCGAGTTTCTGGGCTGCTTGCTGGGCCAGCAGCTGCTGGGAAGCTGCGCGGCGCCGACGCGCAAGGAGCAGCGCCACGCGGCGCACGGCCGCCGCAGCGGCAGTGGGCGCAGGCGGCACCAGGGTGGTGGTGGTGGCAGCGGGAGCAGCAGAGGCGATGGGGCGTCGAGCGACTATGACTCAGACGAGTCATCGCGCAGCACCAGCAGCCGCGGCAGCAGCACAGATGACGGCAGTCAAAGCGAGTCGGAAGACAGGGGATATCACAACAGCGGCGCCGCTCGCGGCCGACGCGGCGGCAGCAGCCGCAGTAGCAGCCGCAGCAGCAGCACCAGCGACGGCGGGCGCCGCGCGC